TATATATATATATATATATCATTGTGTGAGTGAGCCTGGCAGGGACAGTACTGAGCCCCAAAAGGGACATGGATTGAAAAAAAACTATCTTGTTCCCACGAGTTACTAAGTCGTGCGCACGAGATACCTCACAGGATGGGACAGCAAGTTGAAGCTGTCCCATCCTGTTGTTTTTCTAACGTATTGTTGAACTCAAGAGTTTTTAGATGACTATGACTGTGTTTTTGCAAGTCGACATCTGCTCTGAGTAAACAAACAAAGCTTAACCTGGCGGAGAGGCATGTAAAGTCTGGTGGCACGCGGTGGGATTTTATTGTTTTTATCGCAAGATGATAAACTATTACCATGACGGTATATCGCATACAATAACATATCGCCCATCTCTATAGGGCAGTATGACAGTATTGTGGTATACCTTGGTATTGAAACATGGTGATGGTATTTAAAAATTATAACAGTATAATAACCCTCTGGAGCCTGGTCATGTGATCCATTTAAATACTTATAGTCGGAAAGCTAAACCTTCTCTAAGACTTTGTTTTAAATWGAGTCAAAAGTACAGATTTCAAAATATACACCAGGTTTAAATTGTGTTGAAAGGCCAAATAACACTGGAGTTATGATAAACAGTACACAACACTTTTTGTTCTGATGTTTGTGTTTCTGAACATGACCAGTATTTCCTGCTTCCTGTCTCTGCAACAAGCATCAAATAAGAYGTATTTTCAAGGAAAAAAACTGCTCATCCATCTTTTGAGATGAAAAAAAATATAACCTTCCTTTCTCCGGTCCTTTCTGACCGAGGCCTAAAATAATTTGAAAAGTGCCAAAAAATCTACAGGAAGAAAAAAAATTTAAAAATGCAAAACATGCCCCTTTCCACCCCACCCTGGTAATACCACCACGATATTATCTAAAGATAGCATGAAAAAGATTAATACCACCCAGTCCCGTTAATAATGTAAGTACAACTCTTAATATTTTTTCAGGTGTTGCCTCTTCTTGATTCATGTATTTCTTACATTATTCAAATTAATCAAAAAAAAAATTTTTAAATGAGTTGTTTTTAAAAATAATAATTTCAGGCATAAAAGAAAGCCATGGTGGTGTGAGGGGCAGGACTGAAGTCTGTTTATACTCGTAAGAAATGAGAATTTGAGTCCAGCTAATATTATGCTGCTCAGTACAGATTATAAATATTTGGCTAACCAACAGGTTCCACACAAATAATTCTGATGTGATTGTGTTTTTGTTTGAGTTTTCGTTTCCTATTTCTTGTGATCAATTGTTTGAGTCTTTGTTTCCTATTTCTTGTGATCAATTGTTTTGCATCTTATTAGGTTGGACTGAGTTACTCTTTAGAACAAACCACTGAAAAAGCACCACCATTTTTTCAACAACTGCAGCTATCACTAAAAAATACAAGGTTTTCTTTTAGAGCTGTTTTGTTTATTATTTGAATTTGCACATTTGTACCGTGCAAAGACAGGAACATGTTTCTCTATCCACGACTCAAAGATTTGTTTTGTTCTCTGAGATCCAGTTCCAAATTTATGATTAGAAGGAGGTTCCAGCCTAATCCTTAAACATTACCAGGAGCTTCAGATAGCATTTTACGACTAACATTCTCCTTAAGGGTGAAGATGATTAAACCTAATAGCTCAGCTTTTAGCTCACTGATGGCCTGTTGAGGCAGGTCTCTTCTTCTGATACCCCAGAGGCAGTAGAAATCTAATCTCTACCCCGGGGGAAATTACTGTCCGTCTGTGACCGTATGTTTCTGTCTGAGCATAGCTTAACTCCGCAGGGTTTCCCTGCTGAGTTAGCTAAAGTCTTATAAGCATATGGTCAGAGGCAGAGCAAGATTTTCCTGCGGGAGAGGTTAAAAGGTAATAACTACAAATCATAAGATGGCCACAGTAACAGATATCAGTCCAGTGTGGTGGTCCTGGGAGACACCCATCATTGGAAGTGGGTATCAACCTACTGGTTTTCTTTTAGTCTTGTTTTCAGTTGATTTGTCAAATGGGGACATTATAAATTTTTTATTAATAAGTCAAGTACTTTTGACGAAACTCTAAACAGTCAGATAATAAATCGATAATGTTGAACGAAAAGCTTGTCTCGTAGAACAAACTAAATATATAAAAATATTCACTGCTGCTCCTAAAACAGTCTTTATACTTGATTTGTAAAAAAAAATAAAACTATAAATTTTTCTAACTTTTCAAATTCTACCAAGTTCCTTTTGCATAAGTTTTAATCCGCATTGTCCCATTTCATGTAATATGATCTAAAAATAAAATCTGAGCTAGATGACAGACCTGAGTAGGACCAGTCCATCTCTTCATTGAGCTTCTCCAGGCCTTGGACCAGCGGTTCCACAGCCACAACTGTTGGAAATAAGACAAAAATGTTTTAATAATGTCTTTACATTTCCATAGGTTTTTATTATTATAATTCCATCCTTTAAAAATAACACTACAAAAACACATAATGTTCAAAAAGCAAAGGAAAAATTCTATATAACCATTAGTGAGTTTTTAGCACCATTGGTGACCAAGCAGAGCAGTATGTTTTATCCAATGGATTAAACAATAATAATGTAGATAAATCTTGAAATACTGTTTATTTTAGGTAAATAGTGTGGACTGAAAGAAACTAATTACCAATTATAAGCAGGGATGTACCAATTTTAGTTTTAGATATTTGTTGCATAACTAGTTTTAAGACTGATCAGATCTACAGCACCATGTTCAGACATAAATCTATAAATATTTATTATTAGCACCCCTCTGCCATAAAAGGCCTGTGTGTGTTTGTCTGTTAGCAAAAATGTCTCAAGAACTAGTGGATGAGTTTTGAAATGATGAAAAGTTCACTGAAATTTTACAAATATCCGTTAGAAGTATATTTCTTTTACTAGGGATGCACAGAAAAGAAAATTTCAGCATATTCATATACGCACAAACACGTTTGTCTTGTTTTTTAAAATCATTTTAAAAAATGACCAGACCTCTGACATGGCTCTCTACTTCAGTTATTCCTGGCTATGCAGTGCCCTCCCAAAACAAAACCACAAAGCTAAAATATGGGAAATCAATATTGGACGTTAAYATCGGCCCAGTTTTAAATACCGATGTTAATGCCGATATATCGTGCATCCCTAATTTTTATTGTTTTGGTATCTCTTGGGTAAAATAATGTGTTTTATATTTGTGTGAGGAAAATGTTTTAGTTGTTAAAGTAGGGAAAACATTTTCGTCAAGAAAATTAGACAAAACAAAGTCAAAGTCCAAACCAATATTAWAGGTGGGGCTATCTTTGGCTCAGACAGTAACCAGCATATCTTAACATGTCATACAGTCTATACAGAGAGGGGAGAACAGGAGAACAAAGAAATGCAGTTTGAAACTTTTTAAAAGGGAACTCTCAAAAATAACAACAACAAAAAAGGGCAGGAACAAAACAATACATGCTGTCTTTTGATGTTGCACAGTGCAGACCTAAAACCCATCCTCTGAGAAGATGAAAGCCTTGTGCAGAGTCAGATTTAGGTCATGGACTGCTACAGTACCATCACATCAGAAAAAAGCACTAATTCTGTCCAAGTAGCACAGCTGAACACACTAATCCTGAAGTTTTAGTGCCTCCAGCAACAGGATGCAAAAATGGTAAATGACTGCATGCGGGATATATGCATCAACTGCTTTTATTTTTATTAAACTATGAGTTGCTCAAACACAAAATACATAACATACTGCAGCTACTAGTCTTTTTGGGAGTCATCTGTCCAATCTTCTTCACTTAAAATTACTTAATGCTAAAACTAATGTTAAAAAATGGATTTTTAAACGTTCTCTTCAATGCCTTTGAAGCATCCAAAGGGATTTTATCCAGTTCTTGTAATTGACTAGCCTGGTAAAAACCAGACCCTTGTCCTTCACTTTGCTTCGTACAGAGGGTCTGGACTCGCTGCTATTGAGAAGCAATTTCTTGCTGGAGGCGTGGCCTCTGCTGAAGTGTGTGTGTGTGTTTGTCATTGTGAAGGAGGCTAAGCTAAGAAGCTAACCGGAAATCGCGAGTGCTGTAAACAACCCTATTGAGAGGRGACAAGTACCGAGCCGAATGAGACGACTGTAAATGAGAGCTGCTGCTTTGTCAGACAAATTTATTTTAATTTGGAAGCCTTATCAACACAGACTGGCTTCATTCACTTCCTCCACTGMCGTATGCTAAMCTAACTAGCAGACACTGCACAGAACATCGACGTCATTCAAAACTCCACCTTCTGTTTGCTGATTGGCCCAGGTAAAATAAACTACAAGCAGACACTGCACAGAAAATCGGCGTTCTGTTCTCTGATTGGCCCGGCTAAAAATCTGCCAGYGAACTCATTCTCTAGGGGAGAAATGCCAGATGGAGCAGAGAAGTGAAACTAGAATTGAGTGGAGCTGCGTAGGAAGGCAAGGGCCAGGCTAGTATTTGACTACTTTCAGAAGAATGTTGTATTTTGGGTTGCAAATCTACCTAAAGTGGTATTACAGCCATTTTGAATAATGAATTGTTTTGCTGTTGTAGACTGCTCATTAAAAGGTCTTCAGTTTGGAGAGAAAAAGATCTGACAGGACCAAGGAGTTTATATAGAACAGCTGGAGTGCACAGAAACTACGTGAAGCTAAYGGCTAACACAAAACGGTCAAGAGTCTGGATTTCCCATTACTGCACATGTTGGCGACAGAGCAGAAAAAAAGGACTGACGATGTAGAAATCATTAAAACTATTAATAATAATACTAACACAATTATTATTAATATTTTACAGTTTATATAATCTATCTAATGTTTTAAATAATGTCAGAAAAGTGTTCTGGATTTATTAACAGAAGATAAACAGTAAAACGTCTCATTTTACAACACAAGTCAGCAGATTTGATCTTAATTAGCTCA